CTCCACAACGGGAGAGGCCACAGCAGTGAGAGGCCCGTGTACCGCAAAAAAAAAAAAAAAAAAGAAAAAGATGGGGGTAGCTCTTAGCTGAGAAAAGGCCTGTGGTCTAGAAAGTGTCCTACAGCTTCGATAAGGTGACCCCTGATCACAGGATGCAGGGGGACTGTCTTGCTATGGATCAGATTGAGGAACGCAGGACATTAGCTAGAGGGTCGATTTGCCTGAGGGCCATATAAGACAGGTTACCTGGCAGAAGATGCCAAGGCAAAGGTGGACACCCCGCTCTGACCTTGACCAAAGCAGTACCTGCATAAGTCTCCCCCTCCACACTTTCTCCTAACCCCAGTGGGGAGCAGAAGTGCAAGGGCAAACCCAAACTGGACCAGGTTTCAACCCAAGCACGTGGGGGAAGTCAGGTTACCCAGAAGTGACTAGATTACATTTTCACAAAAGAGAGCTCAGAGTCAGAAATCCAGTTGTGTTATGGAAAATAAAGTTATAGTGTAGACACCTGAGCTTATGACATATGAAATATGTACTCACTGCATATATTTTTTGTGATTTTCAAATTTTCAGTAATGACCATATTTTGTATTTTAAAAGATTATTTAAAAGAAAAGCAGAGCATCCACAAATATTTGCTCATGAGCTCATAAGTCAAGGTCCTGAAGGAAGTGGGGCACAAGGCCAATGGAAAGCCCCCCAGTTCTGAGGATCATCCTGCTGGATAACCAGAGAGCCGGGAGTCCTGACCACACCTTCTGAGCCTCTGGCATTAAGGGTCTGTGTGTGAGCAGCTGGGAGCAAACGTGAAAACAGTGCTTATACTATCTCCTCTGCCCATCACAGGCCCCCGCGCTTACCTCCCTCCCCACAGGAAGTCAATATTATTAAGCTTCCCTGTAGAAAGCTCCCCCCACCACTTTTAAACCAAGTTTTGTTCTCTGAAGCAATAGCAAACTACAGAACAAATCCACCCCCGCACAATGATGACCTCTAAATATTTGGAGAACATGTTGGTCTCCATGTTAAGGGCTACTCTGCTCCAGGCTGAATCAAGCTAGGTCCTCGGATGATGTTTTCCAAGCCTCTCGCCATCCTGGCTACCCCTCCTTGGAGGTCACACCTGGGATTGTCAAGGCCACAACTAAAAGGCAGTGCCTGAGCCAATACTGTGACCTTGTGCTCTGGCTACCAAGACTCACTCTAATTCTGCTAAGGCTCTGAAGGGCCTTAAGGAGGCATTTATGTTCTGAGTGCCCCCCAGAGTCTCAGCCTGCAATGCAGGACTCAAACCCAGAGCTTTGCCAAGTGACTGGCTGTCAGACCCGGGCTCTCCTCTGCTGCACCCATCTACTGGCTGGGGGCACGGGCCACAGGCACACGGGGTCACTGGGGACACATGGCCACTGGTGCCAGCCACACTCAGCCACCCAAGAGACCCAGGTCAGGGTGCATCTGTGCGAGGTGTTGGCAGTGAGGTCTGGAGAGAAGGGGACAGGGAGGGGAGAAGCTCTGCTGGCCATAGAGCGCTCCCGGCCCTGCCACATGAAGGCAGGAAGGTCTCTCTCCCCATTCCCCACTCCAGGCAGAAATCTCTCCCTTCCTTTCTTCTTTTCTCCAAGGACCTTACCCAAGACTTGGCATCTCCCGTAGCTCTCCCTCCTCACTGGTAAATCATTGGTACCTTTGCTACGTCTGTGGGCCTTGTTCTCCCTCCAGGAGGAGATAATTGTCCCTGGCATTCAAAGATTTTATTAAACTTAAAAGCTTTTGCACAGCAAAGGAAACCATAAACAAGAAGAAAAGACAACCTTCAGAATGGGAGAAAATATTTGCAAATGCAGCAACTGACAAAGGATTAATCTCCAAAATATACAAACAGCTCATGGAGGTCAATATCAAAAAAGGAAACAACCCAATCAAACAATGGGCAGAAGACCTAAATAGACATTTCTCCAAAGAAGACATACAGATGGCCAACAAACACATGAAAAGATGCTCAACATCACTAATTATTAGAAAAATACAAATCAAAACTACAATGAGGTATCACCTCACATGGGTCAGAATGGCCATCATCAAAAAATCTACAAACAACAAATGCTGGAGAGGGTGTGCAGAAAAGGGAACCCTCTTGCCCTGTTGGTGGGAATGTAAACTGATACATCCACTATGGAGAACAGTATGGAGGTTCCTTAAAAAACTAAAAATAGAATTACCATATGATCCAGCAATCCCACTACTGGGCATATACCCAGAGAAAACCATAATTCAAAAAGATACCTGCACCCCAATGTTCACTGCAGCACTATTTACAATAGCCAGGTCATGGAAGCAACCTAAATGCCCATTGACAGACGAATGGATAAAGAAGATGTGATACATATACACAATGGAATATTACTCAGCCATAAAAAGGAACGAAATTAAACCATAAACAAGAAGAAAAGACAACCTTCAGAATGGGAGAAAATATTTGCAAATGCAGCAACTGACAAAGGATTAATCTCCAAAATATACAAACAGCTCATGGAGGTCAATATCAAAAAAGGAAACAACCCAATCAAACAATGGGCAGAAGACCTAAATAGACATTTCTCCAAAGAAGACATACAGATGGCCAACAAACACATGAAAAGATGTTCAACATCACTAATTATTAGAAAAATACAAATCAAAACTACAATGAGGTATCACCTCACATGGGTCAGAATGGCCATCATCAAAAAATCTACAAACAACAAATGCTGGAGAGGGTGTGCAGAAAAGGGAACCCTCTTGCCGGAATGTAAATTGATACAGCCACTATGGAGAACAGTATGGAGGTTCCTTAAAAAACTAAAAATAGAATTACCATATGACCCAGCAATCCCACTACTGGGCATATACCCAGAGAAAACCATAATTCAAAAAGACACCTGCACCCCAATGTTCATTGCAGCACTATTTACAATAGCCAGGTCATGGAAGCAACCTAAATGCCCATTGACAGACGAATGGATAAAGAAGATGTGATACATATACACAATGGAATATTACTCAGCCATAAAAAGGAACGAAATTAGATCATTTGTTGAGACATGGATGGATCTAGAGACTGTCATACAGAGTGAAGTAAGTCAGAAAGAGAAAAACAAATATCGTATATTAACGCATATATGTGGAACCTAGAAAAATGGTACAGATGAAACGGTTTGCAGGGCAGAAATTGAGACACAGATGTAGAGAACAAATGTATGGACACCACGGTGGGAAAGTGGTGGTGGGGGGGTGGTGGTGTGACGAATTGGGCAATTGGGATCGACATGTATACACTGATGTGTGTAAAATTGATGACTAATAAGAACCTGCTGTATAAAAAATATATAAAATAAAATTCAAAAATTAAAAAAAAAATCTACAAACAACAAATGTTGGAGAGGGTGTGGAGAAAAGGGAACCCTCTTGCACTGTTGGTGGGAATGTAAGTTGATACAGCCACTATGGAGAGCAGTATGGAGGTTCCTTAAAAAACTAAAAATAGAACTACCATATGATCCAGCAATCCCATTACTGGGCATATACCCAGAGGAAACCATAATTCGAAAAGACACATGCACCCCAATGTTCATTACATCTCTATTTTCAATAGCCAGGACAAGGAAGCAACCTAAATGCCCATCAACAGATGAATGGATAAAGAAGATGCGGCACATATATACAATGGAATATTACTCAGCCATAAAAAGGAACAAAATTGGGTCATTTGTAGAGATATGGATGGACCTAGAGACTGTCATACAGAGTGAAGTAAGTCAGGAAGAGAAAAACAAATATCATATATTAACTCATATATGTGGAATCTGAAAAAATTGGTATAGACGATCTTATTTACAAAGCAGAAATAGAGACACAGACGTAGAGAACAAACATATGGATACGAAGGGGTAAAGGGGGTGCTGGTGGGATGAATTGGGAGATTGGGATTGACATATATACACTATGAATACTATGTATAAAATAGATAACTAATGAGAACCTACTGTGTAGCACAGGGAACTCTACTCAGTGCTCTGTGGTGACCTAAATGGGAAGGAAATCCTAAAAAGAGGAGATATATGTATACGTATAGCTGATTCACTTTGCTGTACAGTAGAAACTGACACAATATTGTAAAGCAACTATGTTCCAATTAAAAAAAAAATTGCTGAACATCCCTACTTCTTCCCACACGGACCCCACGGCGTGCTCAGCTTACAGTAGAGGGCACTCCCTCCGCTGCCAAATCCACAGCACTCCAGGGCCAGCTGTGCCAGCCCCTCCTCTCCTTGGTGCTCACCTCATCCTCTCAGCAGCCTCGTTTCTGTGCTACTGTTACCATGTTCCAAGCCGACTGTGGAGCACCTCCCCAGCCCACCCTCCAATCTGCCCCCACCCACCCCCAAGCAAGCATTGACTCTGGCAGATTTCTGCTAAAGGGGGACCAGTGATGTCCTAACCTGTTTGCTTTTCCAGGACTGATGTTTGCAGGGGGCTTTTTTTTGGAACCAGAACAGAAATCATCCCACATCCTTACGCAATTCTTCCACAGCCTCCAGCAAATAAAGGGCCTTTGGACCCTCCACCAGTCTGCCTTTTCCAGCAGAGCACCTGGGTTGGGCCTGAAGCCTCCAGCTACCTGCCTGCCGACCTGCCAGGACCTCTCCGGAGCAACCATGAAGTGCCTCGTCCTGCTGCTTTGCCTTGCTCAGCTCTGTGGCTGCCGCTCTGTCCCGCATGGCCCGATTCTGGGTTATAGGGAACCAGCCTGTGATGACCCAGAAACAGAGCAAGCAGCCCTGGCAGCCGTGGACTACATCAATAAGCACCTTCCTCATGGCTACAAGCACATCTTAAACCAGATTGACAGTGTGAAGGTGTGGCCACGGGTAAGTGAACCTGCTGTGTAGGAGGGGGTGGGGTTCAGCTGGGTGTCTCTAAGAGCCCACCTCCCAGCACAAATGAAATCGCAGAATGGAAACACCCTGATTCCTCCCAGGAGGGAGGGAGAGGCAGAGGGAAGAGAGGAGACATTCTGTACTGTGGTCAGTGGTCTCCAGGAGGGTGCTGGTTGGGGGCAGGAGAGGGAAAGGCTTTGAATGATATTTTGAGGATCACAGGTAGAAAGTATGGTTTTCTAGAAAAACTAGGACCAGAGACTGGATTCTAGTTTCCAAACTACCACTGACTGGAAATCACTTCTTTTCCTTTGGTTCTGTTTCTCTAGATAAAGACTGAGTGAATGAAACGTGGATTTGATAAGTGCCTTCTATGTGCCAGGCCCTTTCACATGTATCATCTCCTTAACGCCTCTCTCACCCCACCCCCAGTCCTGTGGGGTATCGTCCTTGTCTTACATGAGGAAACCAAGGCTCTGACATATTAGGGCACTTTATTACCCAAGGGCATAAAATATTAAGCAACAGGCTAGGATTCAATTCCAGAATTGTGTTCCTTCCTCTACACAAGCTGCCTCCCCACGAAAGGTACCCACATCCCAATGAGAAATCTTCGCATGAAAGGATTCACCCCCTCACATGCTAGACAAGAAACCAATGCAGCCTGAAGCTGGTAACAATGATGATCAAGCTGGGAAATGTGTGCCTTGGGGGTCAGCTGAGTGATTTGGAGAGGTGGGGAAAAGACATCCATCTATTGCCTATTTTGAAATTAGATTTTATAGCTGATGAAGGATAATTCTTTCAGTCAACACTGATTACAAGCCTTCCATGGGCAAGAATCAGTGTCAGGCACTATGGGAGATGCTAAGTTGACTCATAGGAAATAGCCAGTTTTGTACACTAAAAGCAGTCAAATATTGGCATTTTAATGATGCAACCTAATAAAAAGGTGAGAAAGCCATAGTGTCCACAAGAGATTCACAGTCTAGGAAGCAAAATAAGGCAAACCTCAGGATGTCTGGACTGACTCAGGGACATCTGATCTCACAGTGGGGCAAAATATTTGAAATCGGGATTGTCCCAGATGGATTTTAGGAGTTCTGCAACCATAGTGAAGTACGATGGTGATTCAGAGGAAGCGCTGATCAATTCAGGGGAAATGACACACAATGTGCACATTTGAGGGAAAGAAGGAACAACATGGCAGTTTTCACTAACAGCAGGGTTGGAGAAACCCAGGAGCCCCAGGCTCCTATTCACGAGCTCTGAGTGTTTTCAGGAAGTTAATTTGGGCATATCTGCACATCATAAAACACAGCTTCCTCCAGGAAAGGAGATTTTGAGGCTTCAGGTACTAGTGAATCACGCAGAACAGACATGAGACACAAGCAGAGCTGGGCTGAAAGAAAAAATAGCCATACTCGTACCTTCCGGATTTTTCCAGGCTCTGAAGAAAGGATACAGAAACAGGTGAACTGGCAGGAACAACTCCAAGGAGTCATACAAGCTCCCCTATCACCTCCTTACCCGCTGCTCCTTCCCTCTGTGCTAGTGACTGACTGACGCACTGCTTCCTCCATCAGAGGGAGGCTCACGCTTCCCTCTCATTACCAGCAGGGGGCAGTAGGGAGCAGCAACTTTTCATCCAGGGATCTACAAGCCAAAAGACAAAAAAGCCAGAGACAACAACTTTTCCTTTAGGAAGTAAAAGAAAATGGGGAAGGAAGAAAAGTAGATGTTGAGAAGGAAGGAAGGAAGTAGAGGGAGGGATGAAGAAGATAAAAGAGAGACAGTAAGTTATTATCCTTACTTCGCTGCTTGACTGAGAAAAATCCAAAGCTGACTTTTTCAAAGTACTGCTTGAAGGGTGAAATTTTTAAAATTAAATAAGTATCGACATTCACTTTTAGCTTCCAGATACAGCTCAGCGTGATGGCTGTGCTTCCATCAACCAGTCCAAGGCCACGCCCCCTTCTTTCTTACCTCTCCAACAGGGAGTGGGTTCAAACCCAGTAGGGGCTCACCCTTGGACCCGCTCAGCAGGATTAGGCTGCTCACCTCTTCATTCTCTGTCTCCACAGCGGCCCATGGGAGAGGTGTTTGACCTTGAAATAGACACACTGGAAACCACCTGCCATGTACTGGACCCCACCCCCCTGGCAAACTGCAGCGTGAGGCAGCTGCAAGAGCACGTGAGTGCCCCTCTTAGGGCGACTGCTGCGGGGGCAGCTAAAATTGCCAATTGATGGCGCCTTCCCTGGGGCTGATTTTTACAATTCACCTTTTTATCGTACTCCCACCCACTGTGAAACCAGTGCCATGTTTCAACATCACCCAGTGAAGGAGATTTTGTGAGGCTCACCTTTGACATCCACGTCCCCCCTGCCACCATCACCCCACCGTGAGCAGTGAGAGGTCAGCCCTCCTCCTGGGCCCTCACTGTGGGTTTATTTCTGCAGGCGGTGGAAGGAGACTGCGATTTCAATGTGCTAAAACAGGACGGACAGTTTACCGTGTTGTCTGCAAAATGTGATTCCAGTCCAGGTAGAGATGATTATTATTCTTATTACAGTTACCTGGTAGAGAGAGTGAGGAGGGAACCTGAATTGTTTTCAACAGAAGTAGTCCTAGCCACTTTGTTGGTGGTGAAAAGAAGCCAAGTTTCCTGGGTTTGGAGACTTTAAAACTGTGTTTTAAGGAGCTGTTCTCATTGGAGGTGAAAATCACCCCTTGGTGAGAGGGGCTTCTGCAACAATGCCAGCGTGGCAGGAGCCACCCGAAGGTTTAGTAAGAAGCAGAGAATCCTCCTGCAGCCCTTTCAAATAAGCAGAGCGGGGACAAATGCCGCAGAGAATTACAGCCCCGAGCCAAGTTGATTTCTTCGCTCTGTGCGCAGACTCGGCTGAGGACTTGCGCAAGGTGTGTCCAGACTGCCCCCTGCTGGCCCCGCTCAACGACAGCCGGGTGGTGCACGCAGTAGAGGCCGCGTTGGCTGCCTTCAACGCCCAGAAAAACAGCTCCTACTTTCAGCTTGTGGAAATTTCTCGGGCTCAATTTGTGGTAAGACTGAGACCCTGCTGACGGTTTGGGCAGTTTGGTGGCACTTTGGGAGTGGACGTGATGAAGCAGGGGTGAGGGATGGAGCAGGTGCAGGGGCAGCCACGGGAAGTCAACGAGGGTGGTGGGACAAGAGGGAAAGAAAGGGTCCTGAGTGTTCTAAGGACCCTGAGGACCCTCAGCGCATCCCCCACCTAAGCCACTTCACAAAACAGCCAGATGCTGTGTGTCCCCAGTTCCTCGGTTCCAGCTAACACCAGGGTGGAAGTTCCCACTTTATCCAGAAGCACCCACTGTAAATTCATGGGTCTCCACATCGCCATCACCCATCACCACGGAACATCTACAGCACTGTTGTAATTGATACTTACAAAGGCATGGGCATACTTACATATAAGGGCAGGATCCTAAAATGCCTTTGAATCACTGAGAAAAAAAACCCTAATTGTACCGTGGTTGGGTTAGCACATTTGAATGCAATGGAATTCTAATATTTTTAAAAACTGGTATTCTGGATGCCAACCATGGCATACTTGGAAATACACTATAGATAGTAATTCTATTAACCAGAATATGCGATTCTCAGAACACCCCCGCCCCAGACTATAACAAATAACAGATATTTTATTATTGTAAGTGTCCATATGCTCCAAGAACTATAAGATAGAAAAGCATAAGTATCTTCTGTACTTTCATTTATATTTTTCATTTGATCCTGCTGTCTAAAATATGTGGGAGAGGAATTAATTTCTTTACTTTCCCACCACATCTTGGAGTAACCTGAGCCTTGGGTCTCAAAGTGCAACCCCAGTAGGGAAGTTGGCTGGAGGCAGGGTTCCCACTCAGGTCAGTGTAAGGTCAGCCCTCTGGGTTCCTGCTTTCTACCTGAAAACTCACCTCTGCTCTGAATGATGGGCAGTGGATCCCTGCACCTCCTTCAGGGAAGACCCAACCCCAGCTTCTGTATGCAAGCCCTTCAAAAACCCAGTGTCTCACTGTAAGCCCTGTGTAAGCCACCGGGGGCATGTTTCCTGGCCGCACAGTGTGGTCTCCGGGAACCGTGCTCCCTGGACTGTGCAATGCCATGGCCCTCGTTACTTCCCTCTGGCCTCTCCTTACCAGGCTTTTTCACGCTAAGTCATGTTGCTTCATGAAAATTTTCATTTATCCTCATCAGCCTCTTCCAGCTTCTGTCTCTGTGGAGTTTGCAGTGGCTGCCACTGACTGTGTTGCTAAAGAGGTCGTAGACCCAGCCAAGTGCAACCTGCTGGCAGAAAAGGTGAGCGGGCTAGGCATTGGGTTGGTAAAGCCAGTCATGGAACAGAGCATCCTTAGAGCAAATTCGTATCTTGGGGCTGCAGAAAGGAGAAATGCAAAATACCCACTCCCTGTGAGGCTGGGTCGTGCCAGGTCATCCTCTGGGGTGTCATCTCCCCTGCTTAAGAGCTATCACCAGATCTTCTCACCCAATGGAGGCCCCTGGAGTTAGGCTGTTTCCTAATTAAGATGAGTCATGTCAGGCCATTGGGTGTATGAAGTGTAGATTTTCTAGATAGACCTCTGATATGAAATCTTTCAAGTCCTTAAGCCAGTAATGTCCACTTCTAGGAATTTAGCCTAAAGACATCACCGTGTTTGACAGAATATATTTATAAAGATGATTTATGACAGGTACAAAATGACCCCAGAAGATCTGAATGTCCAAAAGGAGGGAATCATTGAATAAAATATGGCACATTAGTAAATAGAAAATTATACAGACACGAAAATTAACACTTTCAAAGAATAAGGAATGATACAAGAGAATGCTATCATTATAGCACGTGAAAAACACAGTATACAAAATGGTGTAGTCAGTGATGCCAATTTTTAAATGATATTTAATAGTAGTTAAAAATAAGAAAGAAATACATAGATGTGAACAAAAGTTCTCCTGGGTCACCACCATTTCTGAGATTATGGGTGATCTCTCTCATTCCCAAAGCTTTTCTGTATTTTCTACATTCTATATAAAATATAAGCAGAAACCATACACTTTAGGAAAAAGGTTTTTTTAAAAAAAGGAATTAAGAATTTAAGTTTTTTTCCCTTAATGTGTTGGAGTATAAGTGAAACTGGGAGAGAAGTCCACTTTCTGAACTGGTTCAAATAACTCCTCTCTTTCTGTGGGCAGCAATATGGCTTCTGTAAGGGGAGAGTCACTGAGAAGGTTGCTGGTGGGGAAGATGTTGCAGTGACCTGCACGGTGTTCCAAACACAGGTAAGGGCGTCATGGATGCACTTGCCCTTATCTTCAGAATACAATGACCCCTTCACCTTTCTGCGGTGCATTAGTAATTTCAGGGCATTTGCTGCCTGTCCTTTTGAGCCCCGCCATATAGATAGTGCCAGGGAATGTGAAATCATCAAAAAACAAAAGGTTGTTTCAGCCATGCCCTCCCCTCCCACGAACTGGTGGTTACAGGGCAGAACCTCCCTAGTGTGCAATTGGCGAGGCCACGTGTTTTATTTGCTAGCCTGGGAGCCGGGGCAGGGAGAGGCGGGGGAAGTGGGCGTGGTTTTCTGAGTTGCAGAGTCCAGGTGGCCAGATCTGTCTCACCGCTCCCTGTGGCTACAGGTGTAGATGAAAAAGAGGGTGACGCTACTGGTGAAGGTTAGCCATAAGGTGGGGTTCTTTTGCTCGTGGAACAGTGTAAGTCTACCATCCCCAACACAACTGGTGAGAAAGGGGCTACCGCAGGCTAGTTACCCCTCCCCTGGAGCCCTGATGACCATCCCTTGTACCTAGGTAGTTCTTTTTTGCCAGATTCCTTGCAAATAAAAATTAGTACTGTGAGAGAATTGGGTGGGGTTCCACCTGGAAGGAAGAGAAAGGCAGCTAACCTATGGAAACGATCCTCTCTCCAGCCTGTGCTCCCACAGCCCCAACCAGACGGCGCCGAAGCAGGGTCCCTCACCCCTGCACTGGGCTCGGCTGGGCCAGCGCTTTCTCCAGCTGGCCTGCCCGCAGCCTCCCTGGTGGTGGGACCCAGGGATGTGGCAGCTCCCCCCATGCCCCCACCGGTGCACCCGGCGCACTACGACCTACGCCACGCCTTCTCGGGTGTGGCCTCAGTGGAGTCAGCTTCAGGAGAAGCGTTACACGTGGGGAAGACACCCAAGGTGGCGCAGCC